TAGACTGAGGAGATTGAAGAGGAGAAGGTGTGGGTTGTGTAGACTGAGGAGGTTGAATAGGAGATGGAGGAGGTTTTACAGTCGGTGAGGGACCCGTGTCAGTTGGTAAAGGAACACAGGGTTGTTGTTCACTACGACTACTCTTCCCCTGAATGACAGACCTTTGGTAGTATAATTGATGCTAAGAAAATGTGACATCCATAGAATTATAGACTTTTTTAGTTGAAGGACAATAACACTTGTAGCCTTTATTGTTGGTCGAATACCCTATGAATATGCATTTGACATATTTGGAGTCTAATTTACTGCGGTGTTGTTTGTGAATATGAACAAAAATGGAGCAATCAAATAGTTTGTTAGGGACAACTGCAGAGAGTGTACAGGTATTTGGAAAGGAGCGAAGGAGGATATCAATTGGACTACGGCAACCCAGAAAACGAGAGGGCATCCGATTTATGAAGTAGGCAGCGGTCAATGTCGCCTCGCCCCAATAACATTTAGGGACCGATGTGGTAAACATGAGACGGCGAGCTACCTCCAATAAGTGACAATTTTTCCACTCGACAACCCCATTTTGTTCGGGAGTATCAACAGCAAGTGCAGATCCGTCGAGGGCTGTAGTGGACAAGGAAGCACCTAACATGACCTTTTGGCGACTCTCTTCGCGGTGTATATCGGAGAAAGCTTCATGAATTGTTGGAAGAGGTTTCGAATTCAAAATCCGTGAGCGAGTCTGGTCAAAATCCGTGAGCGAGTCAGGGGAGGAGTTACAGGCATGGCCGTACTTAGTCATTGGGCACGACAGGAACGCGGAAGAAGAGTCGACGCGGGAGCAGAGTCGACGACAGATCGCAGGAACAGCTGTGCTCGGGTCGGCGATCGCAGGAGACGCGCGATGCGGGAGATCGCGGGAGAAGCACGATCGCTAGAGACGATTGTGGAAGAAGCGCAAATGAGAACAGCTGTGCTCAGGTCGGCGATCGCGGGAGACACGCGATGCGGGAGATCGCGGGAGACGAGAAGCGCGGATGAGAACAGATGTGCTCGGGTCTGCGATCGCGGGAGACGCGCGATGAGGGAGATGGCGGGAGACGAGCGCGGAAGCGGACGCGGATGCGGAAGCGGACGCCGACGATATGCGGATGCGGAAGCGGACGCCGACGATCTCGAAGCCGATACGGGCGCCCGGAGGGGGGCG